GACTTTGCTCTAAATGATAACAGGGGGCAGAAGACTACACAAAAAAAATCTTGACTTATCGCATAGTAATAAATTATTAATGTAAAAAATGTATTTCTGTTTTTTCTTTTTACATATTTTGTTAGAAGGCCAAATAAAGACTTCAAACCAGAAAAAAGTAATTTTCTGTTTTGTTTTATTCTCGGATCGGGCTTTAAAGGGTTAAAAGTAATTGTGATTTGAAGAACTGTACTTTTTAAATATCTTTCCAAATGTCCACATAAGGGGATGGCATATTTTGACATTTGTTACCAAAATGCTTAAGCTTAAACCTTTACATGCTACTCTCATCCTATTCTAATATTATATAATAATATAGTATATAGTAATATATAGTAATAGTATATAATAATATACTATCTCATCCCTTTTTTTTTAACTCCCGCACATTAAACCTCTTGATTTATTTTAGGCTATCTTTGCTCCTTTTTAACAGTTAAGTATTGTGGACAATTGTTTATCTTTTTTGCATGATGCACCAGAGTGCACCTCAGTGGCCTATGCGCATTAAAAACATAAAAACCTTCTTATATATACACAAAATATGGCTTTTAAATAGCTGTCCACTGAAAGAGTTAAACAATGATGTCTTTAGGCTTACTAAGGATCAGATGGTATATGGTCAGGTATACGGTGGTGTAGAGTTTGATGGACCCAGAGATGATGGGTCAGACATCCATCAGTTTCTCATAGAGAATAAAGCACTGTATAAACATATATACAATAGACCCTGTTCCTGGTTTAAACCAGCATAAAATTCATTACATTTCTAATTTGGATTCAAGTCTATATCTCTCTCCTTCCTTAACACTTCATGTTCGGAAATGCTCCTTCCTACCTTAAAGAACTATTCACCCCACAAACCACAACATACTCCCATCTCTCCATTCATTCGAACCAGTTTCAGATACTCAGAACCTGTCATGGCCAGAACAACGGATTAATGTCGGGACAAAGAGGAACTGGTGAACCAACTGGAACAAGGTGAGTACTGGGTGCATAGGGTGACTGATTTAATGATGGATCCAGGAAGATATTGTTCTAAATGTTGATTTCAGTCTTACAGTTGAGGGTGGGAGTTTAAGCCCCTAAGGGGGTTAATCTGATGTTTAATAGAGAGCAAGAAGGCAGGTGAGTGGAGCTGGGCAGTTCACTCAGGAGAAAGGTGACCGGCACGGAAACCAGTAGTGGAAAAATGAGAAAGTCCATTGTGAATCAGAGCCCACGAAATCCTAGAGTCCAGAACAAAACCCACCACCACAGGCAGGCGGGATCAGGACAGAACCAGACGGAGCCCAACGGGAAACAAAGCCCTCTGTGCTGCTGCTCCTCACTGCTGGAATCTCAGGGCACCACAATTCACCCAACGTTTATTTTTGAAAAGGATTTATTTGTAGTAAAGCATTTCAATCTTTTTTTGGATGGTGGGAGGAAGCCAGATTACCTAGGGAAAACATGCAAACTCGACATGGATGAACTAGTAACCCCCATCCTCACCAAAACGTCATGTATGTCTGAAATGCAAAAAAACTGTTTAAAGGGATTTATTTTTTAAACAGACACAAGTTCTGGCAGACGTATTTGCTCCAGAGCCTCTTCCAGAGGAGACCCAGAGACCCCCCCCAGAAGAACAACCTCTGGACAAACGTTCTACCGGTCAGAGGGGGAAACTTCTGGAACAGCCTCCCACAAACATCAGGGAACGTCCCACTTATTGAACATTTAAAAAGCACCTTAAACAGTTTCTTAAAAGTTCCCAGTCATGCACTCACTAATTTTATAGTTGTGATGTCATTGTCTGAACGAGTGTCTTGACTAATATTGTATTTTTTGATTTTGTGTTGTTTTGTCTTCCTGCCTCAGGACCACAGATGTAAATTAGCAACTATTGTATGTTATAATCTGCCTCATTTACAATCTGTACAGACGTGTAAGATTGTTTATTAATGTGCACTGTCCTGATTAAATAAATACATTCTAAAAAAGTTCAAACAACATTATTTTTAAGGTATTGTATTACTCACTAAGATTTGTTGTCAGCAGTACACAAAAATAATTTGAACAAATGATAGTTACAGGTATAATCACTGTTGTTTTGGATCATTCCTTTCACAACTTTGTACAATTGGCTTTTTTTTTTGCAAAGTTTTTGTTCTTTTGTAATTTTCAGTTGGGCAGTATGGTGATGTGGTGGTCAGCACTGTTGTTTCAAAGCAAGAGAAAATTAATTAATTTTGTAATGACTCAAAATTATTGTCAAAACTTTACCCCTTTTTCTTGTACTCTGTGTGTAGTTTGCAGCTTTAAAAATGTCAAATTTAGCAAGAACATTGTTGTTTACATAAAGGTTCTTCATTTCTAAAATGTTTTGTCTTGATTTATGATTGCTTTAGATATTTCATTTGAAATGGTTGTTTGGCCTAACGAGATGTGAAGCCTGTAACGAACCTGGACTGTGGGAGACACAGATAATGTCACTGGGTTCTCAGCTAAAAGGCCTTGTGTTACTCCAACCACGGCTCTTTGGCCAGCTGCCTTTTGACATCGTCATACTATTGAGCCAAGCGTGGCTAAAGAATGTTTTGTGCTGATTATTCTAGGAGTTGAGACCTTTTTCTATTCCAAAGACCGAAATCTGTCCTGACATCATACCCGAGCAATTGCAAATCCCCCTCCCCACATTCTTCCCATTTACCATTTTAACAAAATAAATAGCTTCCCAATTTTATCTGGCTTTTGCAGGGCTGCCTTTTTGTTAGTGGGAAATATGGCCTCTTGATGACACAGGGAGCATTTTTGGGGCGCAGAGTGTGGTTGTTGTAGCAACGTAGCTGGAGAGTGAATGAGGCAGATGTCAGAGTGATCCATCAGCCCCCCCCCCCCCCGCTTTCTGAGGCCCGGGACCACTGCGACAGCCTCTAACCGCACCGTATCCCCCAGGCCCACCCAGTCCACCGTCCCCGTCCAGAGGGAGAAACGTCCATTAAAAACAAAGCAGCCTAGTGGCATTTATTCTGAGGCGTTTATCAACTAGAACAAAGACACTGTGGTTTTACATGGGACAGGTCAACAAATACCCGGGATTTAAGAGCTCTACAATAGCTGGTATAGCATCAGTTCAATTACACGAAACACGCCGCGATGAGGACAAACGCAGGACTGAACTTCACCAGAAAGGGAAAAAAAATAAAGTAGGATGATTTATTCACAGTAATATAATTCACCAGTTGATTATTGCAGTTCAATAACCTGTCATGATCCTGATTTAAAGTCACAATAGATTGTTTTTTATATAACTTGGGCTCAATATTAAACCTTAACACTGAATTAATGTTTTTTACCTCGGCATTAACCACTGTGATGCTGTCAGGTGCACATGTCTGGAACATGTCTTCTGTCCTATTGCCGTTTTAGGTCAAAGTCTGACTGGAAAGCATAAAGTTGCCTCTGAGTACCATCCACAGTGTTGTCAAAGAACCATGTACAAACATCAGACAAGTCATAGAAGTTAGAACTCAGTTCATGACCACATATGCAATCTTGTACCCCAAGTATGGATCCTTTCTTCTATAAAATAGAAAAGACAAAAGGCCTAAAATGTCCACATAAGATTATTGGGTGACACAATGCCTCTTTCTGGCTGATATGAATATCAATTTTGATTTGGACTACAAAAAATTCTAATTGTGACTGTAAATGCTGCACAGATTAACGTTTTTCTCAAAAAATAAATTATTAATCTAAAGAAAAATAACATTTTTATCTGGATCAGACTAAACCTGAGAAGTATAGCCTATAAAAAAAAGTTCAGGCTTGATGCAATGTTCACCTCTATCTCCAAAAATATGACAGTTTTTGCCTGATGTGTGAAATATTGGTTTAAAAAAACAGAGACGTTTCCTTACATGCTTATTCCTTCCAATAAACTTGCTAACTTCTTTCTCATATATAAAGTTCTGCTTTGATCTACTTGAAACGATTTCAACATTGTGGTTTTCCAGCAAGATACAGTGGTAGTCATAGTTTGATTTCAAACGAAAAGATCTGCATCAACTCACATGGAATTGAATCGTATAGATACCGAATAATGTTCTATTATTTCAGAGAGAAAGGTTATGGAAGTGACAACACCCGGCTGGAGAAATTAAACTGTGTGAAAAAGCCTTTGAGGAAGTTTTGCAGTACAAAGGGAACAGACACATTTTCAAAACTGGTCACTTTCAATGAGTCATTTCCTTTCACTTAACCCTCAGAGAAAAGGGATACATAGAGAGAAAATAAATACAAAATATTTGTATAAAAATAATCTTTTACAAAATAAATCATTTCTACCAATATTAGGGGGTTTCTGTCTGGAGGCTTGCGTCTGCCTTTGGTGGGGGGCTTAAAGAGTTATTATGGTTTGGTCACAAACTCCTAAAGGCTGTCCAGACAACTAGCAGCAAAAGTGTCATGGTATAAAAACAAGTTAAAAAAACCATAGTGTCATTCCAAGTTAACAATCAGTAGTTCTTATAGGCTCAATGTACAAAATGAAACAGGTTCCTTAATATAGTGTTTCAGTCCCGGTTATATTTTCAGTTTCCAGCTCCAGTGTTTTTAAGGAAAAACTCAAACAAAAATTTGAAATCTTTTTTTTTTTGCTTTTAAGTTTACTTTTTGTTTTTCATCAATCTTGACCAGATGGAGATAACGGTAAATTCCCAAAGATAATCAGTAGTTTAATTGATCAATAAATTATTCATCTATAGACATAAAAAAAAAAAAGGTTTGAAATGAGTCAGCTCTTCCCACAGACGGGTGCAGACTGCAAAGAGGCAAAGTTTGCAGCATGGAATGGCACATGACTAAAAGACATACATATATATACATATGCATATGTATACATATATTTGCGTAGAATATATTAACCGCATATGAATCGAGTTCAGCTAGGTTGTGCGTGCACACAATAAATATCTCTATTTACAGGTGTAGACCTCAGTCCTCTCGCTGCAGGAGTTGCACCGGACGTGGCAGCACCACAGGAACTTGCAGTTGCACTGCCACACGCGCGCGTACTGGTGCGTGTTGTGTCCGCGCCCGCAGCACATCAGGCCGCAGCTGTCCGGCTGCTGCCCGGTCCGGTTGCACGGCCGGCCCTGGGTGCCCGCGCTGCCGGTCAGCGGGTCGGCCTCGCAGTAGTTGGGGGACCTCTCCACGTAGACCAGCTCCGTGTCCCTGGGCTTGCGGTAGGAGTGCGGCTTCTTGATCTTCAGGAAGGCGGGCCGCTTGTTGCGGCTGGCGCGCACGGGCTCCACGTGCACGGCCTGGTTGTATTTGTTTTTCAGGATAAATCCCAACTGCCGGAATTTGGGGAGCGTGGTCCAGCAGGTCTTGGTGGTGCAGGATCCAGAAACCCCGTGACACTTGCACTCCAGATGCATGCCCTTCTCCAGGACCTGCACAGGGAAGGTTACAAAAGTCTAAATATAGAGAGATACAACTTAATGCCCTCATCCTGACAAGTAAGAGTACCATGAGTGGGATTCTTTCTGCACTCTTTTCTTACACAGTGTAGTGGATCTGTTTGTGAACGGGTGGGAAACAGTTCTGGTAAACAGGCAGTCTAACATATTGCAGGAATCCTTCAACAGGTTGAGACAAACGTTTTCTGGCATTCCAAATGAATGTAAGCATTCCAGAGATCTCCGAGCTGCTACAGTATGTCACCCTATGGCTAGTAGCTCTGTATCAGCCATTCTTTTACAACGTAGAATGTGCTTCATGGCACACTTGTGGAACACACCTCCACCTGGTACCTTAGAAAATGGTCTCAAACACATGAGAAATCAGTTGTGTTCAGACCCGCTGTTGGAAAATATTCTAGCTTCAATCAAAGAGTCCCAGGCAAAAATGCCTCCACGTGAGTGTGGGCTATCAATAGTTCAAAACCAATTTAAAAAAAACTGTACAGCCACATTCAGCAGTCAACAGCATCAGACATTAAGAAAGCACTGTTAATTCATTCTGTTGGAGGATCATCCATTGATAATAAGTGATGCACTAAAATAATAAGGGAACACATTTTCCTACCCTAGGTTTTGTTTATGCATAACAGTACAAAAAGATACTCGTTTGCAAAGTTGAAAGCCTCCATCCGTCATTTATACATTATGCTCGATTTAACGAACATAATAAAGTAAGGATGTGTTTTAACTTCTGTGACCTGTCCAAGCTGTACCTCTCACCTGGTGTAAACTGGGATAGGCTGCAGAAATCCCCCCCACCCCCCTCCCTGCAACCCCGCTGGGAATAAGTGGTATAGAAAATGGATGGATGTTCTAACTTTGAGAACCTCTATCTCTGAAACAGAATTTCTGAAAAACAAACCCACGCTTGTTTTTCTACGGTATTACCAGGATCAACTCTGCCACTTTTAGTGGAAATACTGATGATGCATATGGCAAAACAGAGATTAAAGGGCAGAGTTTCAAAACTATTTAAGTCAGCACAGAAAAGTGTGGACCTGGCAGAGGTAATTTGACCATAGGGCAGCAGATAAAGAGGATACATCACTACAAGACCTACCCTAGAAAAGATTGCTGCTTCTGTTATCAAACCAGGTTATAATGGGTAGAAAATCAAAGTTAAATAAGCCTTTTTGTCCCTGTTTCTACAGTATAATCATAGGCAAAACACAGTTGTTTTGCCTTTTGCACGGTTTCAAGACAATGATGGAAAAACAAGCTTTTCAACCGCAGAACTAGGATCAGTTCAGACAGACGCTGAATGAATTTACAATTTCCTGCGGCCACTAAAGAGACAGTGTGGCTCGGTACCACATGGGGACGGTTTTAGCAGGCAGACCGGCTGTGGTGAAAGGCCTTTTCACAGTAAAGGAGGGGAACCTTTCAATGTGCTTGGCAGCTCTGTGTGCTCCGGGATGAATGACATGAGCTTACCCTGCTTCCTCCTCAGAGTGGGAACCCTCGCTGGCACTACTGAAGCCTCGCCCCGCTTTTGAATTATTCCACTCCGATGTGGCCTCAGACTTTCTGGAGTCTCATGGGGTAATTGTCAAAAGCCTTGGATGCATACAGCTTAGTGTGGTCATGCCCCTAAGACCTGACAAACAGCTAATTCATGGAGCTCAGTGAAGTAGAATCCCCTCCAAGCTTCCAGTGTTTGTCTAACAGAACCCATGTAAGCCCTCTGTGGCACCTTCCACAATGTTGTTTATTCTTCTCAAGAAACTGGAAGGTTGGCACTTGAAACACACTGACAGACATCATCTCCAATTAAACATGAAAGTTTTTGCTACAATAATTATAGAGGTATGGGTTTAGTAAGTGCCCATTAAGAGATTCACGCTCTCTATCAGGTTGTGATTAATGCCAGACCTTAAACATGAAGCCTCATCCGGATAAGCTTCACCGTTTTACTATCACAGTTGTATAAAGACCTTTACCATCCCTATAATAATAATGCAAATCAAAAGAAGATATGTCTAAGTTTGGAAAACAACAAAAGGCTGTGCGCTTCAGGGGTATTTTATACGTTATTGTGAGAAACTTCACTGATCGCTGATAAGCACATGGTGGAATTATGCTACCCTTTTTGGAATACCTAGCCGATAACTGGATAAACTATCTGTCTACGAATGCCTGGAATGAGCTGTCTTTAAACTACTACATGATTATATTGTAGCCAGCTAGTTAAACTGCACTGTAACCACAACCAGAAGCAAAAAAATCTAACCTTCCCTTCCACTGTGAAGTGATCTTTACTTTTTTTAAAAACCTTTTACTTATATTTTACTGTTACTTAAAACAATTAGTGGACTGGTAATGTTTAACTAATTTTTAATTCTATTGAGACATATTTTTATTCATTTTCATTGGCTTTTTTAACTTGATAGGCTAAATAAAAAGCATGCAGAACCCAAAGCTATAAATTAGAGATAAATCTGTTGTAAGAGGCCACGTTTCTGAAATAACATGCAAAGGATCTCTGAACCCAGTCTTAGACTTGGTTCGGTAATTAATTAAAACTAATATCACACAAACATGACAGCCCTGACAGTTTCTTCATATCTTCTGCAGATATTGCAGCTCAATATTTTTATCACACCACATAGCAACCTTCATATTAATAAATATTAAAAACTTACAATGGTAAATCTGCATGTTTCCTCCTAATTCTTATAACTAGGCCAAAAAGACAATTCACACATTTTCTGTGAATCCCTCTCTTTTGCATGTGAAACTGGTTGGAGACTGGCCATATTTCAAAAATCCTACAATCCTCTGTGGATAGGGGAAAAACCTGGAGGATGACTCTCTGATCAGGCCTCCATAAGCGAGGCCTTGATGGTACGCTGCATAAAAGGGTTTTAAAGAAAATAATGGAATTATGACGGCTCATGTGGAATTTCCCAAAAGCTGTTCAAATAAAGAAAAAAAGACTTTGTGATCCTATAAAACAACAAATGAACTATTTGGGCTGATCGTTTAGCCACGTCTGGCACTAGCAGGGCACTGACTCTCCTGTGCCCAGCATCAGTCCTACGGTGAGAAGAGTAGTGGCAGCATTAGGGGGGGTCTCTGGGCAGGAAAATACAGAAAAAACAGGGACGACCTTAAAGATAACATTAGTCAACACACACATAAGCTGAAACGTGGGATTTCAAAAAGTCCTTTAGGAACGATGAGCCAAAACTTACAAACAAGTAGTAAAATCATGGTTAACTGACTTTTGTTGCAGCTTATCATTTCCTAACATACTGTACTAATTTACTGACCACCTAGACCCTCAGACTAAACACCAAATTAGTAGCAGGTCAATTATACAGTTAAACACAGTGCACGTTTCAGTGCTGCATTCAATGTATTTAAAGGATGGGGAGTTCAATTATAATTTCCACCACTGTACAATAAAATACTTCACATGAGTTAGATCTGTTGAAAGTATTGTTAATAATTGTCAGCAGCTCCACAGTTAACGGCTTTAAGAAAATTAACTAAAATGCTCCGAAAGCCCTTTTAAAAAGCCAGAGGAAAAAGAAAGAGTGTAGTTCTTTTATTTTGTAGTGCGTGTAGCTGGTGGGTTAGAGCAAACATTGTAGTGGTAAAACTACAAACATGATGTGGGCATTGGTCAATAAAGAGAAAACACATAACAGGAAATAATTGAAGAGGAATATGAATAGAGTAGAGTCTCCTCTGTGCCAGTCTGAAATCAGCCTTAAACAGTCCATACCTGTAATGTAACCATTACAGTCAGGATCTCTAAACCCTGTGTGTCTGTGTGTGTGTGTGTGTGTCTGTGTGTGTGTGTGTGTGTCTAGTGCTGGGGCCCCAAAATAAGCGGGCCGCTGCTAGATAAATCAAACGCCCGGCAGAAACGTACCTTGCGGCCCACTTCGTTGTTGTGCAGGTTCATGAGCGTCCGGGCGTTCTGCTTGATCTCCCTGGCGTCCACGAACACCTTGGAGAAGCCCGCGCCGTAGTGCACGTCGGCCGAGCAGCCCCCCCACTTCCAGCCCCCCTCCTGGTCGTAGAGGCCCTGCCTGTCCTTGTCGCAGCCGCAGCCGCTCAGGCTCCCCCGGGCGCACGCCGCCGTCACGGCGTGGGCCACGCCGGCGGCGATGATGGCGTAGGTGAAGGCCGCCTCCTTACTGCCTGTGGGGGGGGGGGGGAGGAGACGGGCTTTTTAATCACAATGGCCCGACAAACAGGATTCACTCTTTCAGCCGCTGTCAAACCTCCTCACATACTCGGCATAGCTGCCCCGAACTAGATCATGAAATCCATGACCCGAGCCAAGTCCAGCTCATTAATCAGGCTCTGCTTAACCAGATAAACCTCAGGAGGAAGCCGTGAATTATGGTAAAAAGGCGTGATTGAGCAGTTTGAAAACGTCTGATAAAAAAGAAATGTAATCTGAGTTGGCTAAATGGTTTTATTATATTTACTCAAAGGTGATTTTAAACAGGTTTAATGAACGGGTGGTTCAATTGGTGCTGGTAGAACTACCCTGTTTAATCAATCATGTCACTATTGAGTAAGTATTTCTTATTCAAACCATGACAGAGCAGGCAGAAACTGAGGGTTGAGCATCACTCTTGGCCGTTTCCCCAGCCTCCACCCCACTGAGGTGAAGCAGAGGCATGCACCGCCTCCCTAACGGATGGATGTCCACCTCATAAATCTCAGCCCTTCAGCCTGACCGCAGCTCTTTTTTAATTAGGTGGGAATAACTCCTGCCGGAGCACAGATGGAAGGCGTCCAGAAACGATCATCGGTGGCTGTATTTACCAATTAAGCTACACTTTTACGAGTCCCACGGCTAACATAAACTGAAAAGGACAATCTCAGACTAGACATAGCAGAAGTGTCCGAGTTTCACAATTATAATCAAGATATATGGTCAATCCTGTGATTTCCCTATAAAGCCAGTAATCACACTGATACACCTCAGATAGACCAAGCTCTTGAGGTGGGATGATCTTAATCCTAATGCCAAAACACTGCATGGCTGCCAGAAACAATCTTGACTATATATTCCGTCGGTTATCAGTGTTCCAGCCCAATGAAACAAAACAATGGCTTCAGATTGTGTGCAGGGCAGCTGAACCTGGAACGCACCCATCCGTTAATCTGATTCCCAGTCAAAATTTGGACTCAACAATGCAAAAGATCCTCTTCATGGCTATTATTGCTAATATAGACAGAAGAGCATGTGGGTTCCACTAAAATCCATCTTGCAAAAAGCGTGTCCTGCCAAAGCTGCACAACCTGAAGGTAAATTTGTAAACCTAGGAGCGAGCACTTGTCTGAACATGATTTTTTTTTTTTTTTTTTTTAGGGGGTTGGGGGGGGGCTCACACTGGTAAAACAAACTGAGTCGGTCAAGTCATGCAGACTGTATTTTGGGCCGTCAAGATACAATGCAGCAATCAGGGCTGTAGTCAGACACGGGCTTTAATCCTTAATGACTCCCCTGGTGCTCCACATCTGTGAGGGGTGAGGACCACTCACAGCACAGGTCAGCAGAATACCAGCTAGTTAGGAAATCATTTCTCCGTGGCTCTGTCTCTGGAGTAAACATCGCCTGCAGCCTTGTTCCGCACTCTCATTTCCCACCCAGAGCACATGCACCAGGCCCACTTCAGTCCCACACATCTGTCCAGGTGTCAGAGGTCCAGCACCAGAGGAACGTCTGCTCCGGATTATTCTGGACAATTCATTGCAATTTGAGACAATCACTGTCCATCTCGTTTTCTTCATTTCCAGCAGAAGGGGGAAAAGAACCCTAACTGTATTCATTTAAAAAGAAAAACTCTAGTGATTGTTGCCCTAATAAATAAAGGCTGAGGCTGTTTTGGTGTGTTTTTATGGCCCTTCTGGCTCTGAGGAACCCGTCAGTTCCCGGGGGTGTGCTGCTGGTCCACCTACCCACTTTGAGCTCCCTCCCGAACACCGTCCTCTCCCCCAGGGCTGAGCAGTTCCAGCGGCCGTGCCTGAACTGGAACTGGCACTCGTTGATCCCCATCTGGACCCCCTCCCCGATCACGATGATGGCGTCGGGTCTGCTCTGGCAGATGGTCCTCTGCCGGGGGGCCAGGCCCGGGATCTTGTTGCAGATGATGCTGGCCCCCAGCGCCACCACGGAGGACAGCACCCTGCCAGGTTACAGGTTACAGGTTACAGGTTAGAGAGGCTTTCCCCCAGGAGTTCTGCAGGGGGGTCACTCCTCTGAGGATATGTGGAGGACCTCGTTTCTAAAACTGAAAAAAAAAGAGACTAACACCTCACGATGAGGGTTTATTTATTCGGGAAGCGGACTTAGAATTCTTGCGTCATGACGCACAACATTTAGGGGGATCCTACTTTCCACGTCGGTGTGGAACTGAAAGATAACTGCTCTATTAAAAAAAAAAGGATTATCTTAAACTCACCCGATTTTTAGATAGATAATCCCAAAGCAGAGGCAGAGGTGGGAGGTCCAGCGGCGGCTCTTCCGGCTCATGGTGCTCAGCACCCCGGTAAACCGAGCCCTCCTGCCGGACACGAGTTTCACCGACTCCCGCGGGACTCCCGGCTGTCCGGGGCTGCGGGCGCGCGCGCGGAGCCGCTCCGGGGTGTCTGGACACGGGCGCGTGCCGCGGTCAGCTGCTGCGCGTGCGGCGGCGGGGGGGGCGGGGGCCTGCGGGGGGGCATCGGGCCGCCGTCCTGCAGGTGAACGCGGATCCCAGGTCCACCGAACGCTGAGTGCAAGGCTCTGCGCGCGTGCGTGCGCCTGCCTCTACCGTCTCTGTCTGGGCGTGTTCTGCGGAGGATGTGCTGTGACACGCGCTCAGAGACGCGGGGCCGGGGGACTGAGGGGCCGGGAGGCTGACAGCAGCCTCTGGGTCCAGCGGGAACGGCCCCCCCCCCCCCCGCCCCCCCCCCCCCCGCCCACCCCCCCGGTCCCTCCCCCCGGTCCCGCCGCGGCCTGTCCTGCCCCGGGCCCCCGGGACACAAAGCCCCGGTCACTCCTCTGGGTGCGCTCGTCCCTTTTTTTAAAAGTTGTGTGAGAGGGTTTGTTT